TATGCAAAATTATGTGAATACCGCACATTAATTTATTTGCCTTTTACATTTTGTCCTATTTAAATCACGTATTGTATCATGACTCCCTCCTAGGTAGAACATGTGAAATGGCGCAGAGCGGCCTATATAAGGTCGCTATTTCGGTGGTAAGGGGGTGTTTGGTGTGTTGTGCTGGTGGCTCCGACGATCAACGAAGGACGCTGACCCTCTTACCTCGAAGTGATCACCAAGGAATCGACGACTCAGCCAACAACCCGAGGGGGCGCTGGTGTACTGGGCCAGCAGACGAGACCTCCAAGGCTCTGGCCCAACACACACACTGCAGAATATAGCTGATGAAGGGGGAGAATCGAAGCGTTCTACCTATATCTGTCGGATTAATAAGTTATATGCCAATCGGGAGGACGTTTGGTAGCAAAAGATTGCAGTATTCTTCTCTTTTGACGTTTTTTTTTTCGAATTTTTTGAATTTTCTTTTTTTCCAGGGCCTGAATCCCCGGGAAATAGCGGATGGTTACGAGCAAGCAGCAGAGAAAGCGCTGGCAATACTTCCTTCATTGGTCGTCAAAAAAGCGGAGGATTTACGCGATGTGGTAGCTGTTCAGAAATATTTGCGATCAGCAGTGATGTCAAAGCAATATGCCAACGTTGATTTCATCACAAATTTGGTTGCCAAAGCTTGCGGTATGTGATTTTTCGGAAATTCTTCCATGTATTACCATCGTTGGCAGTATTTATAGCCTTCTGGTGATTGGGGAGCAGCAAGCTATTTAAAGCTTCCCAGCAGATTGTGATCAGGGAACGGCAACGTCCGGATCAAGTACTGCTGCTGTTAAGTTTCTACGTAAAACATTTCGAGACGGCTAAGGCTTTGTCAGATACTTGTGCTGGAAGAAAGGGAACCAAAAATACACAAAGTTAATAATTTTGCAAAGAAAAAAGGAAATGTATGTTACCATAGTTCGCGGCCGATCACTATGATGTCGAGGCCTGAGGCATTTTCTAACTAAAAAGAAGTCAAATTATAGCTCGGTGTGAAATGATGTTTCTTCCGGCCTGGTTTACTTTTCGAAAAAAATAACACCGCAGATTTTCAGTACAAATTGTACCGGCCAATGCGCAGAATTTCAATGTGGACAGTATTCGTGTGTGCAAAATTCTTGGCGGTGGGGTGCAGGCATCCAGAACGATGAATGGAATGGTATTCGAACGAGGCACTGAGGGCGAACTGAAGAAAGTGGAAAAAGCAAAAATTGTTGTGTACTCGTGTCCATTCGAACTAACCCAAACCGAAACAAAGGTTATTTTTTTCTTTTTTGGATTTTTCACTGAATTATTGGATAATTTTTGATTAAATTGGTAAAGCAGTTTGTTGATTTGATCTGGACGAACTCATCGTAGCGGTACTTTCCGGATTTATCAAGGCCGTTTGAATCTGTCGGTTGGAAACTACTACGTTTCGTTGATTTAATTTCAATACTAAAATGACATTGGCACATCCCGGACATCAGGATATCAGCCCTGATCTTAGTTCTCAAGAAATCTCCAGAAGAAAAAAACTTCACTGTTGTCTTGGATGAAGTTTCTTCTGAGAGAGATTCAATGGTTTCCGCTCATACGTGTTTTTTGGCAAGTGCTTACGGGTCCCATTTGTTTGCTCGTAACTAACCCTGAGAGGAGGAAACTATGGCAGCCTTAGCGTTTGTTTGTACTTAGTGCGTGCTGCCATTCGGCTCACTGGCGGATCCAGAGAGAAGGGGGTGAGGGGTGTAACGGGATCATCGAAGGGGGAGGGGATGTAACGGGAGGGGAGAAGCAGGGCTGCCGATGTAGTAACAGACGGGGAGAGAGGGGGCGAAAAATCGCTCCCTCCCCTGCCCCCCCCCCCTCCAAGAGATCGC